CCCCACCTCCTTCAACTTTCGTCTCCCGTTCTCCAAAGCAGCAGCAGTAGGGGGCGATGTCCTTGGACCTCGCCGGCGGTGGCGCGCGAGCCACGTAGGATTCTCGCACAAAGTTTTTGGGCCGTCCTCCAGCTCCGCGTACCTGTGCAGCTCCCCCGGTTGCCTCCCTCCCCCTCCCACCCGCCTTGTCAAGTCGTCTGGCCTCCCCTTCCGTTTCCCTTTAATTCTCCTCCAGCTTTCTGGCGAATCCCGGGTGGCTCACTGGAGAGGCCCCGGGCAGGGGCTTTATCCTCCAGGAGAGTGCGGCTTCACTCGTGTATGACGGACCGCCTGCGCTGCATGCCTTTTGCTGATATAGTCGAGCTGAAAGTAAAGTACAGGGCACTTGAAATGTTCTCTCTTATCCCGTCAGCAGGTATATGCAGCTGCGAACGCAAAATGACCATAGCAGCCCGATATGTATCATTTTTAAATCCAACAGTCGCATATTGCTAAAAATGCTTTAGGTTACAGAGAAAATGAATAACTCTTGCTCACTATCTTGCCACTATTATTGCGAGCTCTTTGTATTTTGTAAATGTCAAAACTCTTTATTTAAAACAAAGTGTTTGCGACGATAGTTGCAACATTCTAAACAGATAAAAGGCCAAGAGAATGTATATTAAGGCCTTTTGTAAAAAATATTGTTGGTGTCTCTTAACATTAGGCCTACTGTTTTATCCGTTTGCTATGTGTAGTAAATTGGCGATGATCAAATAAAGGAATGGTTTCTATGTCATATTTTTTTAATGAAAACAATATCTAGCTATTTACAGTAGCAAAACATCAGTTCATCGACAAAGATAGTTTATTCAAATTTTATTTATAAGGACAGGACGTAGATCACAACTATATCTTGGCGGTAAAGGCGCTCAAGTTTTTCCTAAAATGGAGATTTGTCGGTAGAGCTTCCAACAGGATGAAAGTGCGTGTGCGTAGCTCTACTGTGGATAGCTACTTAGGACTTTAAACCGCTATGAAATTTCAGATCAATGGTAAAGATTTTAATGTAATTTAAATGTAATTGGTGTAATGTTAAATAAGGACAGAAATCAAAATAAACCAACATGCCTCATTATGTTTGGGGAAAACAATCAAAGATATTTTGTAACATTCTGTGAACAAACTTATGTTTCCAAAAATGTATTTGTGACTTTTCATCCGTTCACGAAGCATCCTGTTATCCGATCTGCGTCTTCTTATCATTACTTGTTATTGGAAGCTCTTTACACTGACAAAATAAGTATTTACATTTGTCTCTACAATTTTCAACACCAACACCCCTCTAAACCTCTGACAGAATAATTTCATTTTTACAAAACATTATACAATATTTACACATCTTTTACATACATAACGAATATTTACTTTCTCATATATTGACTCCATATTCGATTTAACATTTGTGTTCTTTTTTTTTTTTTGGCACACATTACTCAAATGCCATTACCATGTTTTCTGTACCATCATAAATCAGTTAAGTCAGCGATGTGTATTGTCGCATTCTAGGATAGTTGTTTATCAAAGATTTCTATTTTAAATTTTATTAAAAAATTAAAATTTGACTTTAACATTATTTATACTTAATCAGTGGGGCATGCTGGTGGTTACAACCTAAAGGTTAGCATATGATTTAAAAAATACTCTGTGACGAAGGGCCAACCTCTCGGCTTTTGAGTTGCAATGAACATATTTTTTTACCACT